TTCTAAGGTGATTTCTGGGTCTGCCTGCCTGGCTCTGGGTTGTTTGTGTTTTTTATATATCAGTCCTCCAAATAGAGTTAAATCATTGGGGGGGAAAAACAGGGATGGCTAGACTTATTTACCTTAAAAGAACCTGATGCTATTAGCAGAAGGAGAGAACATCCTCCAAAATGGAGAGGATGAGAAGGAACGAGGACAGAAAAGAATCATCGTTACTGAGAATACAGGAGTGAGAGAAAAGTGATTTTACATAAGCAACTGCTGTGAACAGGGAGACTCTGGGCAAAGGTGGATAAATTAGGGCATTATTAACATTTCCACTGGTGTGATCTTCAACGGGCTTCAATAAAAATTTAAATTTCTTTTCAATTTTTAAAAATGTTGAATTAAGGAGTCTTTTAATACCGGCCTAGAAGCGGCCTCATGATATTAGAGTTACGTTCACAATGCCACACTGTTTTATTACATAATTGTGACCCTTGGTCGAAAAATATCATTGAATATCCAAAGCTATTATACTTTAACCATCTATCCCAGTGGTTGGCAAACTGCGGCTCGCGAGCCACATGCAGCTCTTTGGCCCCTTGAGTGCGGCTCTTCCACAAAATACCACGTGCGGGCGCGCGCGTACAGTGCGATTGAAACTTCGTGGCCCATGCGCAGAATTCGGTATTTTGTGGAAGAGCCACACTCAAGGGGCCAAAGAGCCGCACGTGGCTCGTGAGCCACAATTTGCCAACCACTGATATCCCAACCTTAAATCCTGACCCTCTTCCACTCATAGCCACTGACATTCACCAAATTTTCTGAAGATTCTTCCAAAGAACTCTATGGGTACAAGAATTTCCTGAACTCAGTGCTTCTGGCATCTCACATTCTATACCCACATGCTTTTCTAAATAAAAGTGTGCATCTAACCCTGTCACTTTGTTACTTCTCTCAAGATCAAAATGCTAAATGAAGAGGAACAAAGAAGTAGATTTCCAAGGATTTCCTATTGAATAGACGTTTTGTTCACATTGGCGAATTTATTGTTAATCCTATTATATAAACAAAAATTTTAGTAATACTTATTAAAATGTGATTTTCCAACTATACATGAGTGAGGCAGAGCCACACCATATAGCGTGTATTGTGTAGTGTCTGATAATGGTAAAGATGAACAGCTATCAGATCAATGACTGAGTCTATCATTTGTGAAATTAGGAAATAGATTTTCTCTCTTTGACTGAGTTTGCATTTCTACAATTTTAAAACCATTACAAAATGCAAACTACTTCTATATAGTCTCTTTCTTAGGTGGTAGAAAACCAGGTACAGAGGGAATCAATTGCTCAAACTTGAACAGAAAGGAAAAAATCCTTCCACTGTTTAGTAAGATCTGATTAACGCACAAGTAAACTAATTAACTTTCCACTTTTAAGACCAAATTCAGCTCAAATCAGATGCCCTATTGAACACCACCCAAGAACTGACAACCTCTCTGAAACCAGTTACTCTCGGAGTATGATCAAGGGAGGATTTCAGAGCCTCCAGAATTCAGGGGTCCTCAAACTGCGGCCCGCCGAAAACATTTATCCGGCCAGCCAGGTGTTTTTTTGCCGCCGCTGCCTGTCCTGCTTAGCAGCCGACTCGTCCCGGGCCCGCAGTGCGCATGTGTGGAATGTCTGAGGGACAGTGAACTGGCCCCGTTTAAAAAGTTTGAGGACCTCCAGATGGTCTGGGAGCTGCCCTCAAAATGAGTGTGAGCTGTGTGAGTGCCAAGTAGTCCTCATCAAACCAAGGAGGGGACTGGACTACCAGAAATCCGGCAATCTTACCTCAATCGGCCTGACATATAGAAATTAATTGGTATCATTTGTGTAGATACAAATAGGTACACAATCCCTATTCTGAATAAACTAGTCATAGATCAGAATTTAAGTGGGAACACCACTTCTCCCAACTCAGCTAGGACTTCCAGCCCCTTGTTCTGTATAACTCAGTGTGACTCAAGGATCTTATGTACCACCAAGTCACCTTGTTTGGCACTAAATCACATGGCTTACATATGAAGAGTCAAATGAGACTGTTCACTACTGAAGTGTGAAAACACATTTGAAAATGTGCCACATACTGTTTGTTACTTTGGGGGGGGGGGGTGTCTTACCCATGGCATCATTGCCTTGGGTCTGACAACAGTACTAAGCATAACATTTTGAAGCGCTTCGTGATTTAATATTTAAATTGTTTCCTAAATAGTTCATGTTGAATATATAGTGTATTAAGCTTAATTTATCGAAAATTTCCATCCAGTGGGTGTCGCCTTTCATGTAGGTCAGACTACAGATTTTTTTTTACTAAAAAGTGAATGGTTCCAAAACAGTTACGTAACTAAAATTAGAGCTAAGAAATTGAAGTTTATAATAAATTTTTCATAATGCTAATAATTAGGCTCACAATTCATTTTTATTTCATTTTATATGGTCTTTATTTTATGCTTTTCTCATACTCTGAAACGTTATCCACTATTTCAAGGAATCACCGGTAGTACAAGAAACATTTTAGATATATCTAACCCACTAGAAAAACTATATAACAGTAGTCAACTTTTCAATTCAAATTCCCTTGGAAGTTACTCCACAGATATTTAAACAGAAATATCCTGACATCCATTTTCTTTCATAAATTTAAGATACATTCTATTTCTATCTTTGGTGCATTGTGCCATTGTAGTGGTCACTGCTACAATGGATATCTATCTAGCATCTATTTCCCTTTTCCTTCTTCATAATGGAAGTAACTTTGTTCAGATATACACTCCGCCCCCTCATTCCACACTGGAAGTCTTAGGGATGGACTCTATTTCATTGAAACCAACTTTGCCATTGACTGGTTCAATAATTTAATGCAGTCAGGACATGGTCTTCTCCTGGAGACTGTTATGCTAGCACTCAAAAGCTGTTCACCCTCTTCCCCTCCCCCATCTTAAGGAAACTGAGTATCAGTGGCCTTTGAGCTGCCTGCTGACTAAATCCCCAACTCGGCATTCAAGGCTCTCTACTCTCCTTTTTCTACCTCTTTAGCCCTTTCTCCTTTGCACAACCTCCTGTTCCAGCAGCTAGAAGGGCTTGTCCCTTCCAGAATATGCCCCTGCATTTTCCATTTCCTATCCTTCATCCGGGTTGTTCCCTTGGCTAGGAAAGCCCAACCACTGCCAAGTCAGTCAGTTCAAATCCTATTCATTTGATCGAAGTCCAGATCAAAAGTCAACTTTTCCATGAAGTCTTCCCTGATATCACCATTAATAAATGGCACTCGTCATACACTAGTATCCCTTGTGTCATAAATCAACGGTGCATGCTTACAGCCTGTTGTAAAACTGTAAGCTCCTTAAGGACAAACTCTTGTGCATCTTTGTCTTCCACCACCATCCCTCCCCACCAGGGTAGCTCAGTAACAATTCGTTGAACACATGAACACACGTTTTCATTTTTGAGGGTGAAAGTGCCTTTACAGAATAGATTATCATGAAGGCTAAAATGTCCTTGCAAGCCTTTAAAAACATTCTAGGGTGGCTTAGGAGTAGTTCTGCTGAAGGAAAAGAAACAACACAGATGACCTTGTAAGCCTGATTCTGAGAATTATATCAGTTCTTTAAAGGTACTGCCTAAGAATTCAAAAACAAACTCTACACAAGTGTTATTTACAAAAAAAAAAGAGTGGCATTTACTGTAATATACAAAGGTTAACAGATTTTTTACCAAAAATTTCAGCTGTTCTTATAGTAATATTTAAGACTATTTACTTAATCTTATTTCACACTTGAAGACAGAGAAAAATGTTGGCTCTCAGACAAAATTTATTTGTAAGCACATACTGATGTCATTTAATTATTATCTACACATCATCACTAAAAATATACCTATCAAACTCCATGAAAGTTATCTGTAACTATTTCCTTCACTGGCTTCTATGGGAAAGGTATACAAAGTTTTGTATTCATCTCCCCCCTTCCAAATGAGTATGTACAACTTAAGTCAGCTAGTAAATATTATGTTACTTCAAGGTCTATGGGTACATTATCAGTTCAAATAAGACCTTAAAACTACGGAAAACATACTGAAATCTCCAGGGAGTGGGAGGGACCAGGGTTAACCACAATCTTCCATCAATCATTGAACCTGCTTTTAAAATAAAACCCTTCAGATAAATCTCGGTAAATCTCAACAATTAATTAAATGGAACAGAAAATGTGATTCCACAGGACAGTGCACTCACAAAAGAAAGGGCACCATATAAGATGAGAATCATTGTTTAAATATGGGCTATGCATAAAAATAAAACTAAGAAAGAGTAAATGGAGAGTGTAAAATTCAATTTAGGTTTTTAGAAACCGCTTACAAGAAAACTGAAGACACGTTTATTCCCTTTGTGCTATTATTGTTATATTCTAGGTACTTTTGCAAGTCAATTTAAATCCTTTGGGGAAGATGCTAGAATATAAAAAATAAATTCTTGTTTTCAAGTATAGTGCAGCACACTGTATAGTCATTTTTAAAAATAAAGATCACAATTTCAGTGAAACCTATATATATGCTCGTTAAAGATTATGGTAAAGGTACGATTTAAAGTTTTCTAAATTATTTCAAAGGCATCTCCCGTTTTCCTGGAGCCGCCTGGTAACGGAAACTGATTCTAAAATACTGCTGTTTTTGCCACTGGAACCAGTAAGTGTGGGAGTTCATTATCTAAAAAAGCGGGGTCACACTCTGGTCCGGGATCGTGGTAACCGAGTAGCAGGTGTAACCACCTCTGATCAGAGAACCGGGCTGTGCGGGAGGCGGGGACTGGGCGCGGGGCAGCAGCGGCGGGTGGGCGCGTGAGCCTCGGCCAACAGAACGGCCGTGGAGGGCCGAGAAAGTTGCCTCCCACGACCTGGCACAGGCGGTCCCCACGCGGCTTCTGCAGGGACCGCCGGCCCAGCCTGGCCCCGCTGGCCGGGAGGCTCTGCTACTCACCTTGCAGAGAGAGGAGCAGCAACGGCGCCAGCGGGGAGCCCCGAGAAGTCATGCCGGGGCGCCGGGAAGCGCGCCCGCCGCCCGCTCGGCTCTTCTTCGCGCGGGAGGCGCGTGC